ACACTCTGATATTCAACTTGGTATCAGAGCGGGTTCGATCCTTAGGGTTCAATCCGTTCTCGTTGGTATCAATTTGTTTGCCTTTGTCATCATTCATTCTTGTTCTGTACTCCTGCTTATGAACCTGCACCTGACTCGCATCCCACAACGTTTCTGCATATGGACCGTTGAACCATCTGCACGGACCCGCTGCTGAAATTTATTTGTCCACTCCACCACATGTTGAATCCGCTGCTTCCCTGCATATTCGAATCCATCCAGCCCCACCGCTGCATCACCGCCCAGACCCGAGGACCACTTGGATCGAGTTCGCCCCCACCTTGCAGAACCACCACTTGAATCCCAGCACAAATCCGACTGTTTGCACTTGCACTGTATCAGACCCGTTTGAATTTGACCAGCATATGTAGTTTGCCCTGTTGAAGGCCGTCATACAGAGCTGCAGCTGCAAAACCCATTTTGCAGTATTGCTGCTGTTTGAAACTTTAAAGAAGATCCAGAAAAAGAAAAAAAATAGAAAAAAAAAAGGAAAAACGAAATGAAATAGAAAAATGAGGAGGAAAAGACAAAAGGGAAATAGAAGAAAATGCTTTGTTTTTGAGGTTTTGACTTTGTGCCCACACGGGCAAGAAAAAAAATTGGTTGTTTTTTTTTTAAATGTTTCGAGCTCACATGTTGCTGCTATTGGGACTTGTTAATTGGAGCTACTGTTGAGTTTTTTGTTTGGCTGGTCTGTTGTTCCTACCGCGACGATCGCTCGAGTACTTGGATTGGAGACCACTCAAGTGACGTTGTGAACGTGGTGAATTGAATTTTTGTTTGTTTGTTCGGAAGTTGGAATTGGCATTAGCATTGGTATTTGTATTGACATCAGCATCGGTATCAGCATTGGCATTGGCATTGGCATCGGCATTGGCATCGACATCGGCACTAGCACTGAAATTTGGAGTCTTGCATCTGCATCTACTTGTTGGCAAACTCATGACGTGTACCGCCATGAGTATGACGGGGGCTGTTGGAAAATTAGTTATTATTTTATTATTGTTTATGGTTTTCTTGTGGGTCAAGGATATTAGAGTTTCTTGCCCATTAGAATTAGGTTTTCATTTCCTTGCTTATTAGGGACTAGGGTTAGTTTATTATAAATAGAGAGCTTTGTTATTCAGAGAGAATAAGTTAGTCACAATGTAGTCTCTTAGGGTTTTGTAGCCGTTTCGGCATTCTCGTTTGTTTAATAATATTCTTATTTTGTTAGTCTCGTTCATTGCGCACTCTGATATTTAACTTAATTTACCTATTGTTTAATCAAATAAAAAAATAACGATCTATTGTTTCATTTTAATGGTGATAATTTGTCTTGGTTTAGTTTTTACGAAATAATTTAGGCACTGTTTAACTTGACCAAAATAATGTAACTACTATGTTAATTTGCCTACAAAATAAATGCTATTTGATTCAAAATTAACATATAAATATAGATTAATTATTTTTAACATGCATATATAATAACAAATAAAAAATGTCTAATCTATGTAAAATAATTTACCTACAACATAAAGAACATTAATTGGTTTGTTTTTTTTATCAAACCATATTATTTGATGCAAAATAACTGATTATACAAAACAATTTTTTTTTCATACGAAAAATGTGCCCATAATTGTTTATGAATATGGATAAATTAATGTATATATATACATGTTACTAATATTTATGATACAAGAAAGGTAAATTTCCATATGGGGTTAATTGCTAATCATAATTAGGGTGACTAATAATATTTATTGACATAATTAGGGTTTTGTGGCATAAGTTGTAAATATGTTGTAATAATTGGTTATATATTTGTCTACATGGTAGTCTATTTGAATTTTGGGTTTTATTTGAATATTTACTATTAGGTGGGTTTTTGTTTGGAAAATAGGAGTTTCAAGGGTCTTTCTCTAAAGAACCCTTATTTTAATGTGACCTTATATAGATAAACTGAAAAAACTAAGGAATAAAATCTCATACATAGAGCATCAATCGTGTTATTATAAAAAATCAATATATATTTATTTGCAAAGAAAAAGAATTTGAACCATTAGAAGCATTCTGATTCTTGAGTTATGTGCTTCTATAGTCATTTCTAAGTAACCTTGTGCCTTCTAACGCATATAGAATTGAAACAATGTTGGTTCCCCCTCAAGAACTGTAATCTCTATTTAAAATGGGACCATCTGGTAGTTTTCTCACTGCAGTCCACTCTTTCAGGGGTCGAGAAGATTCACAGAGGCATTTCAATATCCTCTTAGCCACTATTGTATGATTCACTAGCGCTAGAAATCAAATACATAACGTGTTGTATGGAATACTGGTCTAAAATTCCTACACAATCATTGATCCACCATGTTGTGGTTACTCAAGATTTGTAAACATGAAATTAGGAATCAACTCGGTAGAACTAGTTAGTTTTGTTGAGAGTTGTCCCACATTGATGAGGGACAAAGTTTGTTACGAGTTTATATGATCTTGGGCTACTTCCTATATTGCCAATTGATTTTATGGTGGAATCTCAATTTCATCATGGTATCAAAGCAAGGTTGTTCACGTGTGAAGCCTAACGGTCACACGCGCTCCATGTCACCCATTTGTTGTCCATGTGTATGTTTGAAAATCCGCCACACGTGCGGGGGCTTATTGAGGGTTGTCCCACATTAGTGAGGGACAATGTTTGCTATGTGCTTATATGATATTGGGCTACTCCCTATATTGCCAATTGATTTTATGGTGGAACCCCAATTTCATCGATTCCGTTTCCTTACTTCACATATTCCAAAGTTTCCTGATTCCTTAGTTTTTTTTTTTTTTTTCATTTCTTTTAACTGGTAAAATTACAACTTTTACATATGCTTACGAAAAAAGAAAAGAGGAATAGAAAACCATATTTTATTTTCATCATTGGATGTCAGATATGCGTATAGTTTATGAGACAAAGAAAATCGGAAGTTTGTACGTATTAAAGATCGTCGCTATGCTTGTTTTCTACGGCTAAAACCTAAAGTATTTTAAAACTCACGAGGCAAAAGGACCTGAGAATATTAAATTTAGATTTAGGGTTTTACACATTTCAGTTAAATCGTGTAAAACTAAAGTTACAATGCTGGCCAAAATAGACGAATAATTATAACTTGCATGTGACATGCATGCATCATTAAAATAACAACAACCCTCTCATTAAATTTTACAACCCCATTTTTTGTAGGTAGCGCAGAATTTCTCTTACCAAATTCCTATTTTGTTTTTCGTAAAGCAAATAGGAGGACGAAAATTTATTCAAAAAGAAAACCAACAACTTGTTGATAATTAGATTTTTTGTTTGATCCATTAAAAAAATAATCCAACCACCAACACCTACATTATATAATTTACAAAATATAATTTAAAAATATAATCTTCTTATCCATTTCCTAAAATCAAAGGTAAGTATGTACAGAAAATTACCAGGCCAAGCATACATTATAATCAAAGAGACGAGCAAAAGCAAACAATCCCCTCAACTTATCCATCAAAATTCTAGTACGATGATGTGTCATCAAATGTCAATCTAATCAACAATTAATTGGATAGATAACAACTCAGTGGTCATGGATGAATATCAATCATGTATTTCACCCAGCACATTATAGTTCAATTTCTGACGCTGGTGAATCACACGGTAATTATCAAAGAGACTGAAATGTATTTGTGAGTCTTATTAGTCTCCTAAAAAAATAAACTGGTATAACAAAACTACCAGCTGATTTCCTTTTAAAAGGAAAAAAAAATTAGATAAAACTTACATCCTCCAGTTGTACTACAAAACAAAACATGACAATAATAATAGAGAATGAAACAAGGCATACGAAAGAGGATTTCCACTAATGATCACTTAACCAAGTAATCATGCGCTACCAGCTCGGAAGAAAACAAAAATTCGAAATCGATAAAATTACAATAACTAAATTCTTTTATATATTATGTGGAAAGTGGCAGACAGAGGATGTCGATAGGATCACAAATTAAACAGGACACTGGACCTATACCTCCTGATTTCAATAATTTTTCAATTAATTAATTAAAAAAAATTATTTGGACCAAATTATTTTATTTTTACAACTAACTAAACAATTTTCTCCATTAAACTCTTAGATTTGTCTTTAAATAAATAAATAAAATAGGTATTGGTGTTTTTATCCCTACCCAATAACCCTAATCCCATCTCTCATTATTTCCTGCAAACCAAATACAACCAGATGTTGGCAAAATTTTCCAATGAGTTTGTTCGTCAATTCTTTTCCTTATCTTTCTCTCCTTCCCCTTTTCATTACCCTTGAGATATATATGAATTATCATACTCTATTAGCCCTAGTGTCAGCATCGACGCCGAATATGGCTCCCCCAATATGTTATCATCAAACCCACTTCAAATTAGCCTCTCTCATTTTCGATTGATTGGATCCAAGTTCATATGGGGAAACAAGAAAGAGATAAAGGAGATCATCAATTTTCACGGGAGCTTCAATTGCATTTGCCCTAAAAAATGGAAAGGTGCACTGGTGAAAATCTCGTTCCTCCTGTTTTCCCGATGGTAGCTAAGGCCATCCTACAAATTTTATTTTTTTTAAGAGAATTGTTATTGGCGTTCCAAAAATCTCATTTTGCACTCCAAACTTTCTATAATTAGAAAGAAAATAGGAATGTATAATGAAATTTTTAAAGTGCTAATAACAGTTTCATTTTTTAAATTCTTTTTATTTATTTAATGGCAAAGTTGAAATTCCACTAAAGACATTTTTAAGTTGAGTGCAAAAATAAAAAATAGGTTCCATTGAATTCTCAAACACTGAAACGCCTCAAAAAATCAAATATTTAAATAATTAAATTTTAAAAAAATGAATAATTAAGTTAAAAAATGAAATTTTAATTTCTCAGGGGGAGTGACACGCGAATCAGCCGCTATTTAAGCGTAAACTCCAAACCGTAACCACCACAGAGAGCAAAGCAAGCAAAAGAGTACTACTACTCTACTACTCTCTCTCTCTCTCTCTCTCTCTCTCTCTCTCTCTCTACTGTCTGACACAGGACAAACTAAGCTTTCTAGAAAGAGAAAGTTCGAATTCTAGAGAGAGAGCGGAATCGAAGCTTAAAGCGCCTCAGAAATTCTGTTTCTGTTATTTTTCCGGCGAAGATGATAGCTTACGTGGAGTGCTTCGTCCACGAAAACGACTCCGAATCCAGGCCCGATGGCGGCGTCTCAAGCCTCTCCAAGGCACTGGACCTCCAGGGCAGCGTCGCCGACTGCGGCGCGGATGCAGCCAGAGACTTTGGCGGAATGAATTCCATCTCGCCGCTAGCCTTTCTTCGGCCGGCGGGTGTAGAAGATGTGGCAAGGGTGGTGAAGGCGGCTACGAGGTCGTCGAATCTAACGGTCGCGGCGCGCGGCAACGGCCACTCGATCAACGGCCAGGCTATGGCGAATCGAGGCCTCGTCTTGGACATGCGGTCGTTGGGGGAGCATTTCCGGGTTGTGAGGGCCAGGGATGGCTCCTTCTACGCTGACGTGTCGGGAGGGGCATTATGGGAAGACGTGCTGAAGCGGTGCGTTTTCGAGTACGGGATGGCGCCGCGGTCGTGGACGGATTACTTGAGCTTGACGGTGGGCGGGACGTTATCCAACGCGGGCGTCAGCGGTCAGGCTTTCCGTTATGGTCCGCAAACGTCGAACGTAACGGAGTTAGAAGTCGTTACAGGGAAAGGCGAAATTTTTAACTGCTCCGAAACGGAAAACTCGGAGCTGTTTTTCGGCGCGCTCGGCGGACTTGGTCAGTTCGGTATCATCACCAAAGCTAGGGTTCTTCTCCAACCAGCCCCGGACATGGTAAGTAATTTCAGATTTCAAATTTTTTATTTTTTATTTTTCCCAAATTAGTTTTAAAAATGGCTGCATTAACATTTACGTAAAGTAATTAAGGTTAATTAATTATGTGATTAGGTGAGATGGATAAGGCTGGTGTACACCGAGTTTGACGACTTCACTCGGGAGGCCGAGTTGCTGGTAACTCGGCAGGACCACGGCGGCGACTCGTTTGACTATGTAGAAGGCTTCGCATTCGTCAACAGCGATAACCCGGCGGACGGGCGTCCCTCGGTGCCCCTGGATCCTCAGGAGACATTCGACGCGGCCCATCTCCCTCGAACCGCCGGGCCAATCCTCTACTGTCTCGAACTCGCTCGTCACTACCGCAAAACTGACCACTCCTCAACTGTCGATACGGTAACTACAAACAACAATTATCTCATGCTTCTTGCTGTAGGATAATAACTTTGCACCCGCAATATATGGCCGTACGATTTCATCAGATAGGTGTATAATTACTTTAATTATAGTTTGCGTCATGGGGCTGGTTCTGGGGTCCCACGAAAGTACAGTTTATCCATGGGGCCCATGCGGTGGTGACTGAGTTTTGACCTAAGAAGTTGCTAAGTGGGCCCCGCAGCCGCGAAGATTTTGACCTCGAGCTGGTTAAGTGGGATGTCCCGCGCAAAACCGTCCCACCGGGACAGTGAAAAAGTCATAACAGCCCCGCCCCCTCTGTGTACTCCAGTCTCACACGTGCACAAAGCTTTTTTTGTTTTTGGTAAAACACGTGTACGAAGCTTGTCGATGCAAGGACGGCTTATTCCCCTTCGCCATCATCACCTTATTTTTATTTTATTTATCAAAAACCATATTCTTACTATATTTAGAAAGAAACGATTTGAATTAGAAACGTAATAAGTTGAAACTGAACTCGATATCTGGTTCAGAGGGTCATTTACAAAATCATGTTTTTTTTAATTTCTAAATTTGAGAAAATAAAATTATTATTCATTTTTTCTAGAATGTTTTAATTCGTTCGTGGTGTGGTTCGACGTGAGAGTGACAATACGACAGTAGTGTATCTTACTATCTTCCATTGGATTGTATGACATGGTGCTCATGAAAAACGCCCCTTAACGTTGCGTCTTAATTACTTAAGTGACACTCACTGGGGGGTAAAATGGTAAATACATGCGCCAGTAGGCGTCCATGATTGAGATTTGGCTGACGGCATGGTCCCCGCAGTTCCGCAAATGGCCAAAAAGCCATCATTTTCTGGAATATGTAAATCAAGCATTTGTGTCCCTCGTGTGGTGCGGAATGACGCAATTACCCTCGTTGTTTGAAGTTGTTTGCTGAATTATTTTGCAGGGGCGTGAACAGATTGCTTGGAGGCCTCGGATTCGTTGAGCAGTTGAAGTTCCAGGTGGACATCAGCTACGTCGAGTTTCTATTGCGTGTGAAGCGCGCAGAGGAACACGCCAAGGCCAATGGAATCTGGGACGCTCCTCATCCTTGGTTGAACATGTTCGTGTCGAAATCAGATATTGCTGATTTCGATCGAACAGTGTTCAAGAAGATCCTCAAGGATGGGATCGGCGGGCCCATGCTTGTCTACCCTCTCCGGCGAAGCAAGTATGTTTTTCCCTTCCTTAACGTCCCCACTCCTACTAAATTGAGATCGTTGCTTTTTTGGTAGAGAAAATATCCAATACAGCAGCCTAATCGCACTAATTAGGTCTATTTCATAATCGGTTATGTCGTATGCATGTTGAGTTACATTGTTAGTATTTGAACGTCCAATCAATGAGATTATCCCCTAAAAAAATTTCTTCATTATTTTGATATGACGGAGTTATTTTTGTTGACTTTTAACCTCTTTGATACCATCTTTCTTTGTTATGGAAATTCAAGCCCACATAGTTTTTTAAGTTGTGTTAACATCAACTGGTCATACATACTTCTTTTTCCACGTTGATAATCGCATTGATTTTGATATACATTAATCAAAATTATGTGACATCCGCGCCGCCGTAGCATCATACTTTTTTCCTCTTTTTTTTGGCAAGATTCATACTTTATTTGGGTGCACTAGACAAGCTGACATTTTATGCCTAATTTTGACATCACGAACATAGTTTTCCGAATCAGATACGCTGACTAACTCGGTGAAACATTTTAAATCGGAAGGTTAAGATTCCGATAGTAGGTCAAATATTTTCTGCTTGTAAGGTCATCAAGTGGGACCCCAATCAGAAGGATTGATGATGGTTGTACTATTCCACCTCTGCACCCGACCGTACACAAGCCAAACTGTCTTGTGTTCGAGGTTACCACATACGTCAGGGTTAGGTGGTTTGGTTGAGCTGTTTGGGTTGGGTTAGCGTATAAGCAAACGTAGAAGAGTACTTGCAGGACAAAGATATAGTGGGCCCCAGCCAAAGTAAAAATGAAAAATACTAATTTAATTTTCTATTGTTTAAAATTAAGTCATAGGTTGGATTTAAAGGGTAGTGCCGTAAATTTAGGTTCTTTTAAATGAGTTTTAATGAAACATTTTTGGTACTGTTCACTTTTAACGAAAATGACATTTTTACTTTAAAAGTCACTTCTGGTACTATTCACTTACAACACATTTTTGTTCTTTTGATTAAAACTCAAAGTTTTCAAATCATTTTCATTAATTTTCCTTTCTTTTAATCTGTCAGGAAGTGGTGCTGGATGGCCCTTAAAGGGGCAAGTTGGTCATATGCTTTTTTTTTATTTTTTCTTTTTATGTAAAATGAGGATTTTATATTCCAAAAATTCTTTGCCATTTCAGAAACGACAAGGAAATTTGATCTCTCTCAAATGAGAATATATATCGATCAACACCATAATTTTGTCTGGCTCCAGCTCCAATTTTTAAATTAAGAAAAAACCCTGTGGTTTGGTAGATATCATAAACTAATTATGCAACTAGATTAGATTTGATTAATTATTAATTAACATTTAATTATGTGTGATCAGGTGGGATACTCGTACGTCCGTGGTGCTACCAGAAAGCGAAATCTTCTACATAGTGGCATTGCTACGTTTCACTCCACCATACCCAAAAGGCCCCTCCTCTGAGAATCTGGTGGCTCAGAACCAAGAAATTACACAGTACTGCACCAAGAAAGGGTTCGATTTCAAGTTGTATTTGCCTCACTACAGATCCTCGGAGGATTGGAAGCGACATTTCGGAAATGATCGATGGTCGAGATTTGTAGAGCGGAAGATGTGCTTCGATCCGATGGCCATCCTTGCTCCTGGACAGAAAATTTTCTCGAGGGTTCCTCAACCCTAGCATTAGTTGAATAAATAGTCTCTGTTGATGGTTCGGTCCAATGTAATTTTGTTGTCATCTATTTTTCATTTTTCGTTAAATTTTTTGCTTCATTGCTTCTGGTGGGTCAGTACTGTTGTTATCAATCGACATTCGACAAAGAAGTTGTTGGAGCAAATTAATGTAAAGGTTTAGTTTTGAGCAAAGTTTTTTTATCATCTTTCTATTTGTTTCTTAGTTGATGATGAAAATGTGGAAGTATATATGACCATCATGCTCATTTATTGAAATGTGGCCATGATCATCACTTTGGTTTACTCAATTATCCATGACGCTGACGTTACATGCCACGTTAAGCAGACAATCTGTCTAATAGTCAGATATACACATCTTCTTTGTAAGCATTTGTATATCACACAATCATTAGTGTGGTTAAATCAATTATTCATGACATTAACGTATGTATGTTATCACGAATGCCGTGATAATCTGAGATTCTATTTTAGAACCAGTAATATATTGAAATGTGGCCATGATCATCACTTTGGTTAACTCAACTATCCATGACATTGAAGTCATGCGTGTGATTATCATGCTTGAAGTTTTATGATGTTTCTCACGAATGTCATGATAATGTGAGATTATAACTTATAACCATTTATTGTATTTATCTCTCTCATTACATAAGCAAAATAAAAAATAACTAAGAATCTCTAAATGATATGTCTGTTTTTCTTCTTCTTTTGCTATAAATTTGCCTTTGCTCCTTTTTGAAGTTTAAAACCTTAAGCCCTGATGTACAAGCTGAACTTGTTTAATTATTTTAAACCACTCGATTTAATTCAAAAGTAATTATGTCTTATCTAGGATAACCTTAACTGGCTTTGATGTTCAGTTCGAGATGATTTGACTTCAACTTGTCCAAAGTGCCACTAGTCTTCGTTTCAACAAAAAAGAGATGGAAAAAAAAGTGTTGCTAATTAGGCGTGTAGTTAGGGCATCAGATTCTCTTTTCATGCAAAAAAGATCAAAACACACCATGCAAAAAAATAAAAAAGCTTCCACTTTTTCTCCCAATCGATTTGGTTCTTATTTACCAAACCTCGACCTTCGCCTTGGTTTGTTTGGTTTCAATGAAAATCAAATCTTACTTGGTTTCTCTTTATCTTCTACTTTTCCTTCTTCTCCCTTTAATTTTCTTTTTTTTTTTCCTTTTTTTTTTCTTTTTCTCATGAAAAGTAGAGAAAAGTTGTGGTACTGTGCGCCCCGTATCAGGCTTTGGAAGGCAATTATAAGATCATGATTTCTTGTAATCTACAATCGAATATGTGCTTAGAGAATTCAAATCTTCCGAATTCATTTTATCTGTAGCCTTTTTGTGATCCATTTTATCTGAGTTTCTCTGTAATCTCTATTATTAATTAATATGTATTCATAAATTTAACTCTTCTTAACTCAATTTTCATAAATTTAACACGAGTCAATCAATAATAAATGCTACATAAAAACCACGCACAAAATAAGTGCAAAAGATTTAAACTCATCATGATTAGAAAATGAACCGCCTAGGTTAATTAAATTCCCATGCAAAAAACGTCGTATACGTTCTTTGTAAACGTGCCATGCAAATGCAATCACGTGTTTTACTTTTAGTATTTACCGCCGGTGAAAGTAGTGTGCGTTTTGTATCAAAACTCAGACCATGCATTAAAATCAGTAATATATAATATACAACATGTTACGTTGGAAGGTTTGAACCATGCAAAAGGCTGCAAATATTTGGAATGCTGTGGAAACTAAACCACGGATCGATGAGCTAAATATTCGGCTGTTTACTTTTATTTTGTTACGATGGAAGGGAATCTAACCATTCCTATGCTAATCTTTGCTCTAGCATGTTAGAATATTGCGAGTATTGTTAAAGCATATATGTCTCACCCGAATCGGGATTAAAAAAACAAAAAAATATCATATCTGGAGTCCGTGGGCATGCACGTCAAGATCCGACCCAATGACCTCTCCACCCCTGCCGTCTCCGGCATCAACGAGTGCAGCGGCCACTGACTGTTCATCACGCACCACCACCACTGTTGTAGATCTAATGTAATTGAGAAAATATGAAGGAGCAGCACTGTGCATTTATTCACTACTTTATCTCTCTTCCTCGCTACATGTAGCAAGTGTCAAGGACAAATCCTTGACGCTTGAACCTAGATTACCTTTAAGCACGCGACACTATCTCATGTATTTAACATCCTAATTTCAATTAGCCACAACTAATTCTTCAATTTTGAAGCTAATTAAAGAAATGGATCAAGCCCATCATCAAATACTTGGGCTTTTTGTGTGAGGCCTGTTTTGTAGTTTTAAGCTAGGGAAGGCATGGGGCTTTAGAAGATTCAAGTGAATTTTGATATTTTAAAATGTGAACCATTTGTGGGCAAGTCCAATGTTGTCTACCATTTTGATGGGCAGGACAAGCTTTGGGTTATGTTTAAGATTTAGGGTTAAATACTTGGGGGATTTCTTAACATCTTTTTGCCACAATTTATTATGTCCATTGGGCCCACATGTTCCCCTCTTTGCAAGTTTATCACTGTCTAATGTCCAAGGTTTCACACATGGGTAATGCTTAATCATTCTTAATTATCAAAGTTGAAATTAGTCTAGGTTTGAAGAACAGTCGTGCCACGTGTTGTCCAATTACTCTCACAAAACAATTTTGATGGTTGCTTCTGACTCCACCCATTTTTATTAAATCTGTGTGAGTAATTGTATACGGTTATAATAAATATCTGTTGCAAAATTGTTTGAGATTATTATTTTTCAAATAAATAAAGAGCGTGAATTGAACTTAAGATACCAGAAATTAAGAATCACTAAACTAAAATTAGTTGATATAATCAATTAAGTTTGAGATGAGAATTTACTTGGAATAATAATGTAAAATTTAGCATATATGGTATTTATTTTTCTCATTTTTCATTGTACGAAATAAGACAAATTCAAGGCATTGTGCTGACATATTCTTCTTTTTAATTAGATATTCTTACTCATTAAATGCTACCAGAATTATTTTGACCAAACAAATATCCTTTGTATGATTTTTCTTTTAGGTGGGGAAATCAGGACACAATATTGGATTTCCAAATATTATCCTTTTTTCTTAAAGAACAATGATTTAAATAGAGCATAAACCCCACCTTACCACATAAACATTAACTATTGGGAATTTTTATTTGCACTTAGTTTATGGAGCTTTAATGAAAAGGGCTTGGACCAATAAATATTTAAGCAAAAACCATTCTAAAATGTTATTTAACCAAAATAGCTCAAAGTTTAATAAAAAAATCATCCAAAACTATTGTCTACCTTTTTCGTGTCCTTATCCTCCTCTTCCTCGTCATCGTCCTCATCCTCATCCTCTTATTTGCACCACGAATAATTTATAGTGTTAGTATTTTATTCCAATAAGATCCAATAAGGACCTACGGTTCCGGTGATGTACGTACATGTTAGGCGTTTGTAAATAGGAAAAAAAACCAAAACATAAAACTCTTTATGGAGAACCCAACATTGTTTCTGGAAGAAAAAAAATCAAATACAGTGTTTTTTTTTTTCTGTGCACAAACAAACACTGTATCTGAAAAGAAAATAACCAAAATCTAGAAACAGTGACTTAAATTCTAGAAAAAGTGACTTAGATTCCAAAAACAATCTATGTTTTAACATTTGATTGTTTATTTTCTTTCATGCATCAGTTGATTATATTTAATAAACAAGATGTTTATTTTGCTTTGAATCCAAATACAATGAATTTCACTATTTCTTTTATAGCTTACATTTAAGAAACAATGTGTCTATTTCATTTGGATCTAGAAACAGTAACTTAGATTCCATAAATAGTGACTTAGATTCCAGAAACAATGTTAGTTAAAATCCAAAAACAGTTTATTTTTACAGTCCAGAAACAGTGACCCGTCGTTATTATTGAATAACATGCATATCTCAAATTTATTTTATGGAGAAACAAACGATGAACTCCATTCACGAATAAAAATTGAAAAACAGTACCTCGAATACTTTATAAATAATAACGACAATCACGTTTCAACGAAATAATACAAAATATAAATTAAATAGCATGAGGATGTATATTTTTGTTTCAAAGAAAAAGAAGAAGGTCTGCAAAACAACGATGAACTCCATTAACGACGAAAATCTAAAACTCAATCTAAAAAAGTTAGGGGTAAAATTAACAAACCATAATTTATTATAGTTAGGCCATTTTTAGTTGGACTACTTTAATATGGGCCTTGTACTAATCATTAAACAAAACTTATAACATGGTTTTTGATTAAAACAAAAACTTTTAAAGCTTTTTTTATTAGTTTTCCTTTTATTTTATTTCTACACCTAATTAAATAATGTTATCCTTCAAACTGTCAAACCTAGCCTTAAAATAAATAAATACAATAAAATAAAAATTTGTGTTTTTATCTCTACACCCAATCTCTAATCCAAACCCTGCCACACATTTGCATTCCTCTATTCTTTTCAACAAACCCAATCCAAACGTTGTCAAAAAATTTCCTTAAGGTTGTTGACAACTGTTATAGCTTAAAAGAATAGGAATCACCATACGCTTCATGTAAGATCCAACATTGTCTAGGAAAGTGGATCATGTAAGACTTATATGTATATTACGTTGCATGAGGCATTTTGGGAGTTCACTGGCTTCTGGTTCCATCAGAATTCCGAAGTTAAGCAAGTTCGTGTGAGAGCAATCACAGGATGAGTGATTCACTAGAAAGTTCTCGTGTGAGTTCACATAAACAAAATTATGAGGGTGTGGTCGGGGCCACAACAGATAATATCGTGATATGGTGGAGTCGAGCCCGGATGTGGTGGGGGCCCAAGCCGGGATGTGACAATTTGGTATCAAAGCTAATCCTTGGCCGAAAGTGTGCAAACGAGGATGTCGGGCCCCTAAGGGGGGGTGAATTGTAAGATCCCACATCGCCCATGAGAGTGGATCATGTAAGCCTTATATGTATATTCTCATCTCTACCTAACACGAGGCTTTTTGGGAGTTCACTGGCTACAGTTCCATAGGAACTCCGAAGTTAAGCGAGTTCGCACGAGAGCAATCTCAAGATGGGTGACCCACTGGGAAGTTCTCGTGTGAGTTCCCATAAACAAAACCGTTCGCGCGAGAGCAATCTC